GGCCCCCCCCCCCCCCCCCACTGGGCAAGGGCGCCGAGTCCGTCTTTCCGTGGCGGTGGTGGTGATGGTGGTGCGTTTACACGTAGCACGCGTGTCACAATGTTCCGGTTTTGACTGTCTTTGACTTCGCGCAAGCATGGCACTCACTCGCACTCCCCCCTCCCCCCTCTTCTTCGACAACAAAAAACCGCTGCTGCTGCTGTCGATTTTTAGACTTGAACGTGTTGCGAAGGGAGTGAGATCTTCGGCTTGTTGGGAGGTACCACCGTGCCCCCGCCATCCGGTCCCGGTCCGCCAATGCCGTCAGCCGGTCGGTCGGGTGTTTCGCGCATTTTCATTCATTCGTCGAAAATCCTTCGAAAGAGAAGCTGCAAGCTACAAAGAAAAAAAAAAATTGGTGACTGAAGGCGAAGCACCGGAAAGCATCAGGAGCAGAGGCGCCCCACCACCGCCCCCTCTGCTGGAGCGAAAAGCCACAACGACTTGGAAAGAGTTTTCCTGAGGTTGAGCTGCCTGGAACTGGCGTGCCCTTCCGACCAAATCATAAGCAACACGCGGGGACGTAGATCGAGACCCCCTGTACCACTCGCCGCAAGCAACAGCTTTCTGAAGCAAACGAGTGTCCTTGACCTCTTGGGTTTTTTTTTCTCGCCGCAGAACAAACACCCTTCGCATCGACCCATCGTCGATCTCGTCGTAACAACTTACTGTCGCCTACACACCGCGCACACGGGGTCGTCTACACACAGATACACAGTGCACACGCGGTGGGACAGCTTTTCTTCCATCGCTAGCTATCGGGGCAGCAAAGGAGCGGGTGGCCGGCAGCGTCCTGTTTTTTCTGCAAAAGCCATAGTGGTGGCTAGTGGTTTGGCGAGACATGCATGCCAACGCTCTGAAGAAAAGGGGGCGCAGCAATCTAGTTTGGTGTCCCTTTATAACACTACACAACGGTCTCACACACCATTGGCACACCTACTAGTCTTATGGTTCCTATCATACAGTCTACAGGAGGGAGGCAACACAGTGGTGCAGCGGGTTGCGAGCTTCACACGTCCGAAGAAAATTTTCGATACACACGCCCACGAAATTACACAACAATCATTCCGCCGGTGTGTGCGCCCCCCCCGCTCGCCCCCAGCCCCCGGCCTGACGCAGCAGCAACAAAGAGCCGACAGACGGGACACGGTGCCCGGGGTGAGCACCCTCTCCCTCCATGCCACAGGCTTTTCTCGCTCTAGGCGTTGTTCACCCACGAACCCTCCGCCCGCATCGTCTCTACAAGATTCCGCCGTCGATTTGCACAACCGAGCCATCATCGCCGCTTCCCTCTCCGATGGCGCGGTACCCGTGCCCTCCGGTGCCGTTGCCTTTGTCACTCCTCCCTCTCCCTCGCCGACCCTGACCGCCGCCTGGCACCACGATGGACACCGCCTCCGCTCCCGCCCCTGAGCCCCCAGGCCCCCGCGGCAGCAGCGCACGAAACACGCCTCCCCCGCAACCCCCACCGCTCCTCCGCCTCGCGGCCGCCAGGAGAAAGGCGGAGAGCGACAGCGCCGCGGCCGCGACTGTCAACCCTGCGAGGACGTGATAGTCCTTGCCATCGACGCCCTGAGGAGCGTGGTGGTGGAGCCCTCCCTCCTCGTCCAAACCTGCCCCGACCACAGGGCCCCCCCCGCCGCTGCCGCCGCCGCCGCCGTCCCCTCCTCCAAGAACCCCGCCGACGTGCGCGCTGTCCTCGAGCCAAACCTCTGAGTAGGGTCCCCAGCTGGCGAGGAACCGCTCCCGAAGGGCAAGGGCCTCGTCGTGCTTCCCCAGCGCCTCGCGGCACCGCCAGAGGCCCAGCAGCGTCCGGCCCATGCCCGGGTACTCGGCGTCAACCTCTAGGAGGACGGCCTCCGCCTCTTCCACCGCCACCGCTGCCGCTGCCGTGGTGGTCGGTGTCGTGAGCGTTGGTGGTGCTGCCACTGATACCGGTGCCGTTGCGGTCGCGGTGTCGCCATCGCCGCCGCCGCTGCCGTCGACTCCCCCCTCGATGCCGACGCCGCCGACGCCGCTGTCTACCCCGCGAAGCAGGGCCGCGGCGAGGAAGAGCCTCGTCGGCACCGGCAGCTGCGGCGGCTCGTCGTAGCCCAGCGCGTCCTGCATTTCCACCGCCTGCCGCAGGAGTTCCAGCTCTTCGGGTCCGGCGGCGGCAGCGCCGGGGGGGGTCGCACCGGTGGCGACGTCGCCGGGTGTTGTACCGGCGGAGGTGCCGTGGATGCCGCCGCGCAACCCTTCGGCCCGGGAAAGCAGGTCCAGGATCCTGGTCAGCTCAGCCGCCTGCGGAGGGAGGAAGGGAGCGATATTTTTTGTTGTGTGTTTTCGATCAGGGGTAAAGGAGAGGAGAGGTGAAAGACATGTCGTCGTCTCTCTCGATCAGGAGGACAAGGAGGGATACCGTAAAGGCCGCGCAGGATGACATCGCCCCGCGAGGTGCGAACAGCGCACGCGAATGAGGACCGAACACGTGAACCCCTGCGCAAACACGGGGCAAGAGGTCCAATGACGAAAAGAAGGAAGCGCACCCGCTGCCGGCGACGAATCGTCAGGGACAGATGTGGATACAGCGGTTCGGGGGCCCTGCAATAAAATGAAAGGAGGCGTTTCGCTATTATTTGCATCTACGCCTTCGGCCCAAAAAGGGCGGCGTATCGAGACAGGCCCCAAATGCCGCAATCTCTCGCGGTTGGGGTACTACAGTAGTTAAGGTGACACAAGATTCTCAATGCTCGACTACACCAATACTCCATAACGAAGAGGACGCCACAGTCAAACCATGCAAGCTCTCCATGGGACGGTTCCAAAGCCGCCATTTTCGGCACCGCCATGCAGAGTAGTTGAGCTTCAATAGCCGGTTCAGGGGGTGCGTTATCTTGTGCAACCCACGGCATTGGCACGCCTTTACGTCCAACACACAGAAAAACAAAAAAAAGCAACGAGGGTCAAATCGAGCCGGTCCATCCCATGCGCGCGGGGATCTATCTCACCGATACCACTATAAATAGTGAATCTCCTGCTACGGAACATCGGCCTCACATTGTACACGCCGTAGTACTCAGTCCTGCTTTCCATTATCTCCACGCCGGCGGTAATGAGACCTTGTTCTCGTCGGTAGCTGTCCCAGTCCTTGGCGTTGGCGAAAGCAAAACTACGAGAGATTGAACGAAACACGGCAGCGGCAGCACCAGCGGTTTGTTCGTAAAGCTTGGCAGACTTGGCGGGTCTGACCTGGCCGCAACACAGCAGGTACAAACATGCTACGCTCGAGCTGGCCTGGTCACAACACAGCAAGTACAAGCATGCTATGCCTCAACCACATGCCGGGTCCTTCGGTCTTACCCGCCCAAGAGCGCTACTAGAGATTCTCCTCAGCACGTGAAAAGACCCTCGCTCTGGCATAGAACATCCACCTGCCTCTCCCTCTCCCTCTCGCTCTCCCTTTTAGCGCCCCCCCCCCCCCCCCCCCCCCCCCCCCCCCCCCCCCCCCCCC